GCGTATTTCCTGTTTGGTACCTACCATTTGTATGACCGCCATTGTGGAAAACAACTTGTGAAGATGGACCAGCTAGAAGAGTGAGGTGCACGAGAACGCTGGGACCCTTTTTCCACCTAGATCCCCGCTCTTTTTTACCCTCATGTCCCCCCGTTGTCGCACAAACTTGCCCCCGCTTCCTCACCGCCTCGGCCATATATAGACCCAAAGCTAGTTTGTGATTGTCCCTCTTTGCGTTGTCACGTGGAATAACAGTGCAGACCACGCCACCTGGTGCTCCACCTGGATCCCCGTAAAAAGAGCGGGGATCCAGGTGCAAGGGCTGGAACTGCAAAGGATGTCCAGGTTTCAGTGAAATGGAGGTTAGGATGCATCCAGTTAAGGTTGAGTTTTTAATGATAACAACCAATGATTTTTAGCCAGGGAACACGCATTGGCCTGGTGGACGCTTCAAGAGGGTACCAGAGATAAGCTGAACCGCCAACTATGACATCAGGGACTGCATCATGGCGGCGGCCTTACCAAAAAGTTATACTAAAAAGCTTTGTTTTCATTTTTACATTTATATTTTTTACATTTGTAATATAATTATGGATTATATTAAGTAAGACAAAATCTCAGCAATTAAGTTAGTTTGTTAGACCTTTTCATTTTCTTTCTAAAACAGGGTAAAATCCATCCATCCATTACCGTCCCAGTTGTCTATCTCCAGCGAGGGGCAGGGTAAACCACTCTATCGTAGGGCAACAAAGAGAAAAACAACCACACCCAAGATGAATTTAGAGAAGCAAACTAATCTAGCAGTCATGTTTTTGGACTGTGGGATGTAGCTGGAGTACCTGGGGAGCATGCTCAAGGAGAACATGCAAACTCCATGCAGAGAGAACCTTGGGAATTTAACCCAGAACCTTCTAGTTGCAAGGCAGCAGTGCTAACCACTGCTCCACTGAGCACATCTTCAAATCCAGCTCCACGCATTAACCAAACTGCTGCAGAGACCTAAAGCTTATTTACTTGCTCAGGTGGACAGGTGAGCCTGGTTCTGCTGAAGGTTTCTTTCTGTTAAAAGGGAGGTTTCCTCTCTACTGCCGCTACAGCATGCTTGGTGTGAGAAACTGCCCTCCAGTCAATCAGTCGATGCCTGTTTTCTTCTTTATTATTTGTTCACTCTGTTTTTGTTCTCAGCACAGTGACGTTTATCATCAGGGAAACTCTTTATCTGCTTTCATTCATATCGTAGTTTGTTCGGGAAGCAGAAAATATTGACACCAAAGTTAGCAGTTCACCTGCTCTATTCAAGTGAAATCCATCTCTCTTGAAGAGGTGTCTCTCTTTCCAGAAGATATTAAGATTATCAACAAATTCAATAGTAGGAAACTCTAAACTGTAAAACGTGTCTGTTTCAAAGGGTTCGGTAGATTAATCACATCTCCCTTCAATAACTGTGACTGCCTCTTAGCAACATCATTCTGTTATCCGATGTAAATGACTAGGTTCTTTGAGGTTGGATATGATTCTGTGATCTGTGTGATACTCTTTGAGGTTTCAGACAGCATGCTACAACCAACCTTCAATATATCAGGGTTTTTCTTGTTGCAAAAGCATTTAAAGTCATCCACAAACATAATCAGATAAATTTTGTTGGCTTAGCAGCTGGTTTGTTCTGAGGTTATTTAGGAGAGAGCTTAAGGTTACCATACGTTTTTCTGTTTTCTGTAACAGGTTGTTCTCTTCAAGGTCATCTTGTAAGACCTTGACCTTGTTTTGTTGTACTGCAATCTATGCTACTGTAATCTTGCTTAATTCTGAGCAAACAGAACAACATTTCAAAAAGAGCAGAGGAAATCATGCCAGCTTGTGACATTACAACAGAATTTACTGAATTCAGTCCAGATGCATCAAAAATAAACAGATGTTTAGTAATTATGCAAACAACCAATTTGATACTTGTAATTAGAGGGTAGGTAGTGTCATAAAGGCTCAAAAGCTTTTTCATCTTTTAGCTCAAAATAATTGTCAGAAACATACGGTGTCTCCAGCTTAAAGCACTGTTAGTAACAGGTGATGTGAAGGTTAATAGTTTTCCTAAACTTTTACTTGTGTATCTAAACGATATGTTATGGACAAAAACAGCTGCTTAAAATTCTCTAAAAGGTTCAAGGATTTATACTGTATGTGTCAACTGTCAACTTAATTATATAGGGACAACAGATGGTTTAACTGTTCGATCACTGCAGCCTCTAATATTCTTTGTTGTCTCTATCTTTATTGCACCAGGAGTTATCGTCTTGGCATTTGTGCTCTGCTGGCTTCCCTTCCACGTTGGTCGGACCATATTGACCCTTTCGCTCGGCTCTGGTGCTGAGAAACAAGACACCTATATGGACGCTACTTCCTACTTTTCCACGAATGTCAGCGCCGGTAGCAGAGACGTTCACATGGATCAAGAACCCTTTGGACACTTTGACTCAAAAACTCATTTCCCTGATTCCCTCTCTCACACTGAAGAGGTGGACACTCTCCCAGAGGCACACAAAATATTCTGTGACATGTGTGCCAAAGACTCACCTCTAGAGACCACTAAGACAAAATGTAAATTTTACAACAGTACCACACACAAAATGCCAAAGAGGACGTCATTTTCTCTAAGTCCCAAACCTTTCGCTACCACCACACCCACCGACCTGTACATTTATGTCACAAACAATGACACCATCCTAAACAACACACACTCTCACCAAGACGCTAACATTTACTTTCTGTATTACTTGTCTCAGTATTTCACGCTGGTTTCTTCTGTTCTCTTCTACCTCAGTGCCGCGGTCAATCCGTTACTTTACAACCTGATGTCTGCCAGATACAGACTGGCTGTTCACAGTCTGATTAACAAACACACTCACACTCATCCTCACCGCCTGCGCTCATTCACAGCTCGACACTCTACAACCACTCTGTAACAGCAGTGTTGTAATTGCTCCTGATTCTTGGTAGCTCCTGAAGTTTAGGCTGTAGGTCTGTCCACTGTGATGCCAAAGAAGAAAGATATTTCTATGTCTGATGAGTCATTTTTTTGATTGATTTTAACAAATATTTTTTGGAAAGGCTACTCTGGATTACGACTCA